ACCCTCTGCCATGTGCCTAAGATAAATACACACTAGGCCACCCATGGCTGTTCCATGCAAGAAGCCTTGAGCCAAGCTGAAAGAACGACAATTTAATGGCAACAAAAATAAATTGCGTACCCCCTCCTATCCACACTGAGCTTGCTTCCCCAGTTCTTAGGCTCACTGGAGGCAGCTGACAAATGCCCACTTGCTTCTGTGGGTTTCCAGATTTCCTCTCTGCTTTGGGCACTGCATTCATTATGTTTTCAGTAGCGGTCGCATTGAACTCACGGACCATTGACTCACAGCTGAAGACTCAGCTTCACTGTTTTTTGCCCTTGGAAGCCACCTATAAATGGCAGGTCAGGTGCAATCCTACTGAAATGTGATAATCTGGTCAGAGCGGGCAGCCCTAGTTTTCACCCACTGAAGATAACGGGCCTTACCTCAAAATAAATAACACGTTAAAAAATAACAAAACATTAATTTTGCTATAAATGTATGGAAGATGTGATTGGAAGTGCTGTGAGTTAGAGATATAAATGTGCTTACAGGCAGACATCTAAAATTAGCGATGTTCTCATCTATGGGGTTTCAGATACCATTTGAGTGCTATTTCAAGGCTAACTTTCTGCAAGCTAGTTTATTAAACATTGGGACAATTCCTAAGCAGTTTTTTTAATGCTTATGTATTTCAACATCTCTGGGCCAGGGGATGAAAGCAACATTAGGCCCTTCATTTCTGTAAAGCACTTGCAGAGCCTCACACGAAAGACACTTTATCAAACAAACTAACTTCAAGTCTTTGACTTTAGATAACTCTTGTTCATAAAAAAAAGTATCATCCACTGACTTCAGAGGCAGCTTTAGTGAATGCAGGCTTCAGGATGTCACCTTTCAGCAATATTTTTAAGACAGAGCCAGCTCCTGAGGGACACTGAATACCTCCAACTGACTTTGACACGTTCTGCAGGTTCTCAGCTTCTCCTAGGATTTAACCCATAGGCACCAGTACTAAGAATAGCTTTTTCTTTAGGGTGGCCTGAGCCTTGCCTCCAGTATGTGGATGCCTGAACTTTAACACCACCTGTATTCTTCCTGAACATCAAAAAAACCATTTAAACAGGGTCCTGCATACTGGAGTCCCACAGACCCAGTTGCATTGCATGCCATAACAGAAACCTCTTCTGATTTTGGACAGGGATGGGGAAGGAAGAAGAGGTGCCCTTTCTTTTTTCTCACCACACCACCTCAGAGCATTTATTTCAGTACAAACTGAGGATTTCCCTTTTTCTTTTAATCGTCGAAGAGCAGCACATCATGCTACGCCCTGAAACAAAACTAGAATTTCCAAAAGCCCCCAGCACACCACGCACTGCAGCCCATCCAGGGCTTGTGCAACGTCTGGTACGAAGCCAGCGGCCAGTGGACAGTCAATACAAAAAGGCTCAGTGTCAAAAGCAGCATGTGGAGGATTCAGCAAGCAGCTCTCATTAGTGCCAATAGGAGCCTGGGTACTAAGCCTTCACACCTCTTTAAAGATGTTTGCTCTGTCTTTAATAGACATTTGCACAAATCTACTCCGAAGCTGAGACCAAGCAGGCAAAAGTTTTAGCTGGGGGAAAAAAGTCTTCACAGTTACAAAGCTGGCCCTTTTCCAGAACGGAGAGCATCTGGCCACCAGCTGTGTTTAGAGGACAGCAGGCATAAGGAACAGATCAGGGGAAAATCTGAGGAACAAGTAGACAGTGCTGAAATTTGTGAAAAGAATACCAGCCTTCCTCTCTGATGTCCAAAACCTTTGCCCTCCTACTTTCCCCATCCTTTTCCCAGCTCTCAAGCCAATTTTTGGAAAATCACCCATTCAGGAGAACACAGATACCCTTTCCAGGCTCGGGAAGGGATCCAGCAGGGCTCTAGAGTAAAAACCTGGGAAGTGTGGAAACTGGCAGCATGTGAGGTGAAGTGGAAATACGAGGAAATTCTGGAAACTAAGGGAGGACCTCTCCTGCAGAAGGCAAGATCTGCAGTGAGGCAGGGGCAGGATGCCTGTAAGTCCTCAAATATTACAGCAGTGGATTAGTATAAAAAAGACAGATGGAAAAGAACAAAAACAACCCTTCACTCATTACAGGCTGGAAAGTTACGATTTAAAAAAAAAATAAATAAAAAGAAAAAGAAAATCACGAGTTTTTCTAAGGATGTCGTATTTTTCTCCATTTCACTGAGATTGGGGGCAATATTTTCCCCTCAAAATTTGTAAATTACTGCAACTCATACAAAGACTGAAGAAGCAGAAGGCTTTTTATTTTCTAAGATGATAACATCATCTCTCTAAAAAATGCTAATAAAATGCTCTGCTGGAAAGAGCCTTATCTGATAGGGACGGTATACATGGGCACCCACTGAAATTCACACTGCTTTTTAGATTAAATTGACAACAGAGCCCTTCCCCCCAGCCCCAGATTAATGGAATGACGAATCCATGCATGAAGCCACGTATAATAAAGCTTGGAGATTATGAAACAGGCTAGAAGACAGGATCAGAATTGCAATTGATCTTGATGAAGTGGGGAAATTGCCCCAATTAAAGCAGAACAAATTCAATAAAGACAAGTTGAAAGTGTTACACTTCGGAAGGTGTAGTAAACAAATGCACAAATAAAAACGGGAACTCCTGGGAAAGCAGCAATGAACCACCCAGGAATTATAACGGAAGACAGACTAGATCAAAGTCAGCCATGGGATGTTCTTATAGAAAATATTCCGGGATACATTTTCTGATATGCTTTACATAAACCACAGGAGACAGTTAGTTACTCTGCTTTGCTTGTTACTGTATAAAACCTCTGCTGGAGTACTGCATTTTGGGGAAACTGGGGAGTCATGAGGGGAATGACAGCAAAAATCAGAAACTTAGAAAATACTAGCAAAGGAACTAGGAAAGACTATACTAGTGCGGAAAGTAGGATAATTCCTCTCATACACAGAACCACCTTGTAAGAAGATCTTGTAAGATCATCTGTTCTTCCTGTGAATCAGGGCTTGAAGGAAAAGTGGTTTGATTTGCAGTAAAGAAATTCCGAACAGTCTCTTAGGAAAACCTTCTGATTACGAGGGTGGTGAAGATCATGGATCCCCGTCACTGGGCCTTTCAAGAGCTTGCAAGCTGCACGTTGTCTGGCGTGGTTCAGCTAGACCTCACCCAGCCTCATGGCAGGAGAGGTGAACTAAAATCGCAGTTTTCAAACTCTGGTCAGTGAATCCACAAAGGTCTGCTGACTGCTTCCAGGAGAAATGAATGCCAGGGTTACACAGGGGCTGGCTCTTCTGCTAGCAGAAGTGATGGGGGGTCACAGGTCAAAAAAGAATTGAAAATCATGATTCTTTTTTTTTTTTTTTTAAGGTTCCTTTCAGCTATACAGCTATGACTTCGGGATTACCAGTGTTGCAAAGGGCAAAAATTATTCCCTTATAAATCAATAGCCGCAATCCCTTCCTGTAACAGCTTTGAACGACAGTGTCTTGGGGCTTGTTCTCTCCTACCATTTGCTAGAGACCAGGAAAGAAGATCTGGCAGCAGCGGTGGGTGCCACACTTTCTGTTGTGCTCAGCCATCCAGATTCACAAGCCCCCGAAGGAGCAACGGGACTCACGAATGTGCGGGCCAAGGCAGCTCTGCTGGCAGACCTGCGCAGTGTGTGTTTGGAGGCAGTTGCGCTCTCTCGCTAGAGCCTTTAGCTCGCGTTTGCCTTTGAGTGCCCAAACACAGCGACCACTCAGTTCATGTACAGCTACCAAAGGACATATTAAGCCCTTTATCTCTGAAAGAAAACCAGTAAATGTTACCACAGATACTCTCAACTCATCAGAAGAACGACTAGCACACAGATATCAGTGTTTCCTTCCTAATGAGTCCCAGGCAGGTTTCTACAAATGCTCAAAAGACATCACCTTCCAGGGGCAGCCTGCGCACACAGGACTCTACATCCCTTACCAAAGCACAGTTAGTATCTGAGCTAGAAACAGGGGCACAACACTTGTGGCTATCGTTACAACATCAGACACCAGACTGCCTATCCACAGGTATACCTGTGGGCACGTTTCACAGAAAAAAGCTACTTTGCCTATGGATATATGCGTATGCAACTCCTGATGACTTCGTTGGGCACTACGCATGTACCCACGGGGAGAACTTTAATATCACGATCGTTGTCTGAAAAACTTTGCTATTTTAAAGCATGAAGCCGCAGGGTGAGGTCTTCTCCTGTCTAGTTATCATTGGCATGGAAAGATGGGTTTCTGTGGATGAGGAGGCACACCAAATGACAACAAGCACGCCTGCATGTTGCTGTTGCATCAACCATGGTCTCGCTTCTCTAAGATCACAACATTCACACAGAAGTTGCCATTACCTAAATGTTCCAGGCAACATCTTATGTGAACATCTACTATGCAGAACAAAAAAAGTCTAATTGTCTGACCTGCTGTGTCTCTGCGACATTAGTGGCAGTTTAGACATCTTTGTAATTTGTTGCAGAAACTGTAGAGGCTTTAAAAGACCAAGCACACAGGAGGATTTACGCCTCAGAGGCATAAAACAGCTTCCTACCGTGTTGATAACTAAAGCCAAAACTGTTCTCCGAGCATGCCAAAAGCTATCAACATGGAAGAGCACCCGACGTAGATACTTCAACAAAAGAACAAGAGGTTAACATGCACTGTCAAAATAAAACTTCTAAAGTCTATGAACTGGGCACAGTTTCTGAACGGCATGCTAGAAAATAAATATATTAATGTCACTTTGCCATGGAGAAGGCAACATCTTTGCCTACTTCTTGCTGTGGTTTTCAGAGACAGAACATCAGGTATGTTGTTGCATGTAGCAGATCTGTCTTGCTAACAATATGCTGCAAAATAAATGAAGCTTTGACATTAAATCACACCCCCCATCCCACCCCACCCAAACCCTGCATTGCAGATAACCTATACATTCTCAGGATACAGTGAGAAATCATTCTATAGTACATATTTAATTATAATTTAAAAAAGTCTAACTCAGACACAATCTCTGGCCAGTAGCAAAGTATCGACACATTACTGAAGTAAAGACCGGTTATTATCCCTTCACTGTAACAAACAGAAATCAGCATCTCAAGAAGGGTCTCCAGGGGTATCATCACAATCAATCGCACCAAATTAAAAAAAATATGCTAATTTCACAAATGAAGTTTGACAAGAAGTAACATTGCATTTGTCTTGGCGAAATGAAGCACGAACGTAACATTTCACAGGTACAGTTACCATGCAAATGCATGTTGAGTTTGTCATTGTTTTTAACCCCAAATCACGAGTAGCATGCAGTTCTCCTGCCCCCCCGCCCCCCAACTACTGTATTAGAGATAGTCTGGGTAATGTACCTCTTTGGTGTAACCATAGCCTGTTAGGCAAGATTATACCACCCTAGGAAAGAATACAAGCAAAACTTGATCATATGTATGTTTACACAATGTACATTTTTACCATTTAAAAAAACCAAAACATGTTACATAAATTCTCAAACACAGCTCTGTTGAAAATGAAATTTTAAGCTTAAGAAATAGTTTTTAAACTACAAGGCCACCCCATTTTTTGTAACGAACAATTTAAAAAGTTCCCACCCCTAAAAATCTGCCAGTATATTTCCTCTGCTGTAACAGTCTTACCCACTCTCTAATACAGTTGATCTTTGCTCGACAGCAATAACAGTTCTTACATTTCTTAAATGTACTAGATAATGGACTCCGGGATAGATATAGTTCTTAAACGTGTAACACTGGAACAAAACCGCCTTAAATGATTAATCGGGGTGTTCCCCGGCACCACCGCTCAGGCAGGGGCTTCTGCTGTTCACTGATGCGAGTTCTGGCTTTTGTTGGCATCGAGCTCCACGACCACGCACGTGCGTTCAGAACTGGAGTACAACAGCGATTCACTGGATGCTCTTGTATCCCGTTTGCTCAAAAACATGGAGGAGCTTTGTTTTCTGTATTCCCTCATCCAAACGGGGCTGCAGCCCCAGCGCAGGACCTTTGGCCAACACAGAACTATTTGGATGCGAAGTAGAATTTTTTAATATTTTGTTTTTGTAGTCGTTTAAGCAACTGCAACGGGTTTAAGCAACTGCAACAGCAGACTTAACTTGCAGGGTCTTTATTAGAGGGTTACCGTCTTCCTCAGCTTTATACAATGGAGCCCTTTGAAGAAGACAAATGAATTGACTGAATCCTTGTGGCCAACGTCCTCTGTAAGTCCTGTAGTACATTTTGACCAGACGTTTCTCCGTTCTTGTCATACAACAGCTGTTTGAAAGCTTCATTTTCAATGAGGACCATCATATTTTTTAGAAAGTAGCCTTCACAATAGGAAGATAGTTCTGTGACTCCGAGAAACTACAAGAAGTGAAATTAGAGAGAGATAACCATTCTGATAAAACCCGCTCAACAAATACAGTGCATAAGAGCTGCACACAAACAAATACACAAACTAAGCCTTTGAGACAGGCACCGTAGCACTTACAGATACATATGTGGGAGGGGAAGGAGTTAATCAAACAGTATTTTATACTGATGATGCTGATCACAATTCCATGTTATAAGGCAATGGCTGTTAAGGAAACAAACTTCAGGGATGAAGCTTTGCTCCCTTGGAAATGAGTGGGAGTTTTACCACGCAGAGTTCACTAGACCCATGATTTCATTCTAGAAGTTACACCCTAAAACTATAGGTTTGGGACAACTTATGACAGACCAAGTTTAATGAATGCCATCCTTAGCAAGGATCAGACACATGATCTGCCCTGCAAAGTTTCATGCTTCAAGGAATCTTTGGAGGAGAAAAGGAGGTTTGCAGAGCATGTGGTTTGGAGCTGTCAGTATCCCCTTACACTGAACCACGTCTGGGTAATAGGCAGGGATACTGTAATGTGTGAGAAAACCTTAACTGTGTGAGCAAAAACGTATAAGCAAACCTTAAATGACCCATAGTGGTCATCTGATGGGTGACCTGTACTGGTCATCACCCACTGGCTAGATCCTGTGGTCATACAAGGAGTATAGCCGTGATATTCCACTATAGGTGTAATTCTGAGCCATGCAAGTGTAGAGAGCAGTGCTCAGCCCAACCTCCTGCCCACGTACACTCCTGCTGGGTCCGAGCTCTCAGTAAAGCAGGAACCTTTGGCTGTGAGGAGAAGCCTGAAGGTCCAGAACTGCTGGGTCATTGCATAGCTTTGGGTCTGGACTGGAACAACTACACAGCAGTGTTGCCCACCAGCACCTTAACATCACGTTTGGAACTAAGAATGGAAATTGCTAAATAAATAAATAAATAAAATTAGAGGGGAAAAAAAAACCAAACCAAAACCGATTAAGACTAGGTAGGATCTGTCTTCCCAAGGAAAATGAATGAATTTAACTTGATTTCAAACCATGCAAGTTTTCATCAAATTATGAGTGCATTATTTTGCACCTGGATGTGAGAGCATGTGTGAATTTGTATTCTTCTCTGAAACACTATTCATCCCTATTCATTATTTCAATATATTTATGACGTTGAGGAAATAATGTACTTTTCTTTTTCAGATTTGTTCTGAGGCCCAGATTGCAATCTGTGCAAGGGCTGAGTGTTTTAGGCATGTATTTGAAACTCCAGATGATTTTGTTTGGAGTTCGGGGGCATTCACGTAAAACACATGATTAGTGGTAACTAATCAATCACCATTATAAATCCAATTTTCCCAGTTACTTCATTTCTTTCTGGAAGTAAAGAACAGTGACAAAGGCTTTGAAAAACGAAACCCTTAAAGTGATACTAATCAAGTAACTGCCTTTGTAGATGTTGCAATTTTAAGAATGGAAAGCCCATGGGGATGCCACAGATGATTTTAATACTCTCGATTCAGTTTTTAAATTGTAAATGTGACCAAATCCACACTGTGTAACCTTCCTACCAGTACTTCACCTCTTTAACACAGGATCTCAATATCTTTTTTTCCTACAGCTCCTTTTACACAGCTCACCACCCTGCTAAACACTGTTCTACAACCTAGGCCCCCACCACATACAGCTTTCCAAATGTGTGCTCACTTCGTGCTATGCTTCCACCAAATCATATCTTTCTCCCCATTATGATGACAAAGACTCCATGTGCTCCATGTCTCTCTGGGCCAACCTGCTGCACATCCCCATATGGAAAAGCAGGTCGCAGCATCACCCGAGTTCCTGCAGGTGCAGCTGAGCTTGCAAAATAGCAAGGACTAGAAACGGTACCTACGACAGGAGCAAGTTATTCAAAACCTGCTCCTGGCTGATGTGGCGGTTCCTGGCTTCAGTGCCTGATCATCTTATTCCCATCCTCACTGCAGTCTAACACGAGCTTCTTCCACACTTCGGAGAGCAACATGGAAAGGCAGACGGCTGGCTGACAAGCTGCGCTCAAACTGCCTGTGAGCTCCCCTGGCTTATCAGGACCATCTGGCCTCTTCCGCCACATCCCATTATCTCGTATTCACATAGCAAACAAATGAAGCTGCTGTGTGACCGCAGCACTCTGGGCAGAATAATCTGTGCTCAGATTAATCACCTGCACATCACACAAACCGGGAGCAAAAAGATGGAGCATCTTCTCTGCTCTGCAGACAGTGTAAGAGAGAGGTATCTGAACTAGATTTAAATGTGCTAATTCAGGTCCTGCAAACCTTCTAGCTACAGCAGTATGAAACTTAGCCCTTGTAATTTACTGGAAGCAGGGTAAATTAGTCCATGCAGAGCTCTAGTGTGATGTGGCTTAACTAATTCCAGAAGTCAAGATTACATTCACATCTCGCTTGGCTATCTCTGCAATGCACTTCCCACATCAGTGCAAACATGACTCTGGCCATAAAAGCCTCTCAAGTACACCATTTCCACTGACTCCGCTGGGAGATGCAGGCACAGAAAACTTGCAAACTTGGGCCCTTGCGGGCAAACAAGGAGCTGGATTTAGCCACTGCATTTGTTCAGTCCCAGCATCGCCAGTGTACAAGTTGCTAAGACAGGTCTAAAGCTCGGTGTAAGAACATTCTTCAGTCAGGATGTAAATAACAGCCACATTTCACAATTCGAAAAAACCGTGATTTTTAAAACAAAATTATTCATTTTGCTTTTAGTAACAGTAATACAAATCAAGAAGTTCCCACATGAGCTAGAAGATAAATCAAATGTTTTTCAAAAGTTTCCTGCACTGCTGATTTTTTTTCCCTATTACAATAAATAGACCTGCAGATATACCTCATTTCTTATTCATTTTATAGGTGGAAGTTTATGCTATTTCAAATACCGATTGCACGTTATCTGTACATCAAGACCTAACGTTACTACTCTCTGTAGGAAATACCTGGTGATGGGAATGCAGGTCAGATCTGCAGGGGTCTGGAGCAATCTGCAGGATTACTCTGTTCAATCAAACCTCCATGTCACGCTGCACCGTTTTATCTTTCGTGCAGACCATGTAAGTTATAGAAAAAATCACCTAAGGAACGCTTTAAAAATATTTCATTGCAACTATTTGTGTATCATTTCCATCTTCCAAGTGAAAGTCTAACCACTAAGCACACAAGAGAAGGAGAAAAACTGAAACTAATCAATGTGGCAACCACCTCCATCAATGAGCGAAAATGGGTTTTCTAGGTCAAAAAATGCCATGCTTTTATGCCTAATGACTTAGGCCCCCTCACAAGCTAAGTAAATAATTTGATTCCAGTAAGAAGCTGCAAATCTCACCTCTCCAAGACACAAAATTCTCATTACCATTCTTGCACAGCTCGGAGACGTTGCACTTTGACAACGTGACATTTTTATGTATTGACAAGCTGTCACCAGCATTGAGTGTATCACCCCAGCGGGCTTCAGGCAGGAGGGAACAGGAAATTGTAAAGGGAAAATGCATCTTGGAAGGTGAAAGAGAGGTCTCATTCAGTTAGGTGATTCCTGTTGAATAACTCAGCAGTTTGGGTTGCCATGATAAGGGATAGGTCTGCCACGCGGTGGTACGCTCAAATTGAGTTTGAAGCACTTAGAGACGGGGCTGAGCAGTTGCCACAGATGCTCTACATTATTTAGGACTGTCACCATATTCGGTACCTATTAGCCACTCAGTCCCAGTAAATAACACATCTTAAATAAATAACAAACTCTCACTACTTATAAAACTGACCTATGAGTATGACGACAGACACATAACATGCAAGCGTATGTGGTTATTTTTACCTTGGCATGATTATAAATATCCACGCAGTTTTCTGTATTAATGCTTTTTGCGCAAATGATCTCACAGTGTCGTTGTAAAGCTTCAAGCTGGAAAAATTTAGCAGCAGAGAGAAGCTAAAAAAAAAAAAGGCAAGGAAAAAAAGTCAAAACCGCTGAGTGATAAAGAATTGGAGCTTGCATCTTTACTGTTTCCTTATATTTTTTTCTCTGCCCCTGCTTCAGTTTTCATGTAAGTACTGACAAACAGTCAGAATGAGAAGGCTGCTTGATTGCTTCAACCCTTTGCAGTCCCCTTAGACCGCGCTGTGGGAAGCTGTACATGGAGAGACCACCACAGGCTGCTCAGGTCAATGTGCTGACTTTGGGATGGCGGGGGATGGCGCGTGAGAGAGAAAAAGGACATGGGAGCTTGGAGAGTCTTTGGTCACTTCGCAAACATGACTCTGCGAGGAGGGATCCGCAATTACATTCCAGGAAAAAAGGGTTCTGCTTCAACCGTTCCCCAGGCTCTGCCTGAAACAGAGCACCTGGGCTGGATATGGGGATGTCAGCAGAAGGGCCAGGACCAAGAGTATAGAGGAATTCAAACCAGATGATGACAACCACGCTGGGCAGTCTTAAAAATCGAGAGGCAATAAACCTCAAATCTGTCACCTCAGCAGGCTCAAGGAAATGGAGTCAGATCTCCATATACTCCTTGCTCCGGTGCGAGGCACTGCCTGGTTAACACTCATGTTAGTGTCATGTGTCTGTATTGCTGCACTACCACAGGTCTCCTGCCATCAGGACTCAAGCTGACCTCCCTCTTCAGTGATGTGTCCACCCCATGGCTATGCTACCTGGACTGCCACTGCCTTGGGGATCTCTGCAAGCCACTGTACACTGTGGGCATGACCTGAAGCCTGTGGGGTGAAAATAGCTTAAATTTTGAGTTCTCCAACTGATTTCAGTAGTGCTAAGATTTCCCCTATTGCACCCTTTCTGTCCTTTTACAGCTGGGAAAAGGAATTTCATTTTCTGCATTTCCATGGTAGGTAATCACCTCTGGCTCTCTGCTCTGGCTTAGGAAGCACGCTGGGGTTCCTCATTGCTTGATACCTTGCTCTAACCCAGCCAGGTCTCTTGGGCTAAGGTGTTTAGGCGTTTATACGGCCCTTATCATCTAGGACTGCATGACAAAAAGTTATCCTGTGAATCCCAAAAGGGCTCTCATGCTGCTAGGTAGGAGCACTGGGGAGCAAAACTCTGAAACTTTCATGACATTATTTTGACTTCTTCTATGCAGTCTGCTCAAGCTCTGCTTTAATCCCATAAATAAAACCAAGTGCTGGAAATCTGCAGTGCTGATGTGATAGCAGCCAGCTGGCCCCAATTATGAATTGCAGCAAAGATTTCTGTGGAGTATTTCTGGTGCTTCTTGTTATCATATTTGTAATAAGGCAAGTTGCTAAATGCAGTTTTGAAAGATAAAGCCAAATCCTATTCCAGCTGCCTCTGTGGCTCAAGCAGTCACGTGCTGGCTTGTAATTACTTTAAACTGTGAGGAACCGTGGCCAGATCTGTTATCAACAGATCAATCAATCAGTCATACATTCTTGAGTCACAGAAGTTTTGAGATGTCACAGAAGTAGAGCAAGCAGCCAGCTGAACTGCAGCACAAGCTTTTTAGCAGCCTAGGTGATAAGACACGCATCTCTATAAAGCCATTGCACTGCCTAGTCTGAGACTCCTTACTTCAGAAAGGGTTAGAAATTCAGGAGCTTCTTTCAAAACTATGAGTGAAATAGAGAATCAGTGACCTTTTCCTGTAAAGCTCAGAAAGTCAATGCATGTACGCTTAGTTAAAAATCCACTGCCTGCATTGGAGGGGGATAATTACAGTCCGGACTAGTACCATCCTCTGGCTGCCAGCAGGGTTGGTACAGCTGTCCCTGTACCCATCAGAATTGATTCACCCTGGCTACTCGTACCCCACAGAGTCGCTCCCAGTTCCTTGTTAGCAGTACTTTGGTAAAAGTCAAGCCTTGCACGGGCACCTCAGACAGTACTGTCATAGGGACAGACTAACTAATGTAGGCAACAATGAAACATCATGGTGGCAGACTATAATCTGTACACTGATGCTTATCAACTGTTTAAGCTCTGATTTTAGTATTTACTGGCCTGTATTCCTTTTGGTTGCCATAATTTGGTGACTGTCAAGAGGAAAAATCCCTGAATGACTATCAAGAATTTGCTCAAATATCGCTAAGTTCTGTACAGCCGGAGTCGTTAGGCTGATCATAGCTGGCAATGACAGCACACAGTATTTGGAAGAGGATGACTTAGCATCCATACAGGTTGTGGATGTGTAGCTACACTGAAGGCTCAGTCAGCTCCAGTTGGCTTTGTCTGGCTTTCGCATGTGGATGCAACGGCACTGGATGTTTTGCATCCAGTGAGAAAGGGGCAAAGAAGTCTCTGTATCTCAGGGAGCAGCTTAAGGTTTTATTCAGAAAATGTGACAGTCACATGCTTTGCATTTCCTTGAAAGAGCCTCTCAAAGCATCTAACTAAATATTTTTATTTCAGATTTTTTTTGCTTGATGATCATAATTTTTCTAGTCTTTCTTCTCTGACAGTCAACTTCATACTGGCAAAAGTCACCATAACGGGCGACCGGCAGAGAAGGAGACGGAGTGTCTCTCGCAGGACTGCGGACAGCCTGGGCACTCTGGGTGAGGCACTGCTGGCTCTTACAGGAGTGCTCACGTCTTGCCCAATGGCCATGTGCCCTTGGGTGAACGGTACAGAGATCACTTAGCGTTGCTCCCACTGCAATTAAGATAAATGTCTCTTACCTCCATAATTTCATTATTTTTAATCAGGAGTGACTCTGCACCTCCATAATAAAGATACTGCATAACCAGCTGTAATAAAACAAAGGGAGTGTTTATAAAAAGCAATCCAACACATCAGGGAACATGGGGTGATGTAAAGATGGCAGGCAATACCTGAGGCTCTCCACCACCACTAAGGATTTGTAGATAAAAATGGCCCAAACCTCCTGATTTCAAGATATATTTGGTTACTCTCTCTGCACAGTTCAATGTTCGCTTCTCACAGGTCGTCTAACACCTCAACCCTCACCAGCCACATTGTCTGGACTTACTGGTGAGCTCCAGACAGTTTGCAGGAAGCTGATTAATTCATTCTGAATTTTCAGTGTATTTCCCAGTATGTTAAATACATCATTGATTCAGGAAAATATAGCATATATAATGGTTATTCCCTTATTCCTTCCCTGGCAATGGCAGCCCCACCTTCACCCAGCTGTGTGTAGGCATGCATGGATGATGAGAAAAGAGTGGGGGAGGCTTTGCACTGCAATACAAGCCAGCTAAGATCCCTCTGCAGTGAGGTTCCAGCAAGCCTAAAGTTATTGTAGGCAGCTGGGAATTATCTGCAGTGGTAACAGTCAATACATGGAACTGTCTGAGCTCTGGCTCAAATAAAGGGAAGCATATACACGTACACATTACAGATACAGAAAGCAAGCTCTGTATTTTCATGGCAAAAAATTGATTGAACAATACTGCTAAGGAAGGGAATGAACCGTGTCTCTTCCGAGCCTGTCCATTAAATACAGAAAGAGCCAACAAGAGAAAAAAAGAATCCAGTGCTTTACCTTGGCACGCACTGCTTTGTCTGCATACCCCGTATAAGTGAAATGCACGCTATTGTATCTGGTCAGGCATGACATTTGCAATCAATAGTACTCCGCACCTTAGTGTATGAACAGAGATGAAGCCTGTGCTCATGAAACCACTACCCTGAGCTACGTGTTTACCAAATACATACGTACTAATTTGGACAGGGCATGTGCGATGTTCCTATTACATGTTCCATTCAAATTCAATGTGAGAACTGACTTTACCTGAAAGATGGGGTACTTCACATAGTTGATCTCAATACAAGCACTATCAGATGAGGGCTTGCTAGACAGCAGTGCTTTAAACCTAAATAAAAAGGAGCAAGATTGAAATACCAGCCCAATTATCTCTGTGAAAAAGTACAGTGAAGTGGAAGGACAGCATCAGCTCTTGCAAAAACAGTACGCTGAAATGAATGGATTTGTCACCGAAAAGCATCAAGATTTAGGCACTGACATAAAATAAAGTTCAAACCAAAAGGAAGAAGCCTCTCTTTTAGGAGATTTCAATTTGAAATTTTGGAAAACTACATCTAAGATCACAATAGAATAAAACGTACATAGGAAACTCAGATACTGTAATGATGCATATTACAAAACCAAAATAATTTTTTTTTCCCCTTGGAAGCAACATGATCTTTTAGGAAGATTTGCAGCATTTAAAAACTGCACACCTTCTTTTTTGAAGGAGATAAATTTTGGCCTATGTCCGTTATGCTGCTTTAAAAAAATGTTTTGGAACACAATGAAACAATTACCCTAAGACTTTTAATGCTTCTATACAGGCTCAATACAATCGTGTAAGAAGAGGCAGGACAGAAAACTGGATAGGTTGCTATTCTCTGATTATCAAAACCTGAAATTCAGACACAAGTTTGAGGAAAAAAATACATTTTAAGTTAAAAATTGCAGATTTATGTGAGACATATACATATGCAGCAATCTAGTTCTCAAAACTAGATACTCCCATTTGATCAGAAGGCAAAAATGGGAAATGCGCTCTCAGGAACATCTGCCCTTGTACTTCCTCTTTTTGATAATTCATCTGACCTTCTAGCAGTACTGCAAAGCTTGGCTTATCTATCAAGACCAGCATTTGCTGGATGGTAACCTTTTCCGTATCACAATTGCATCTTGTTAATTAAAAGATGGATAACATTGACTTGCTTTTACTAGTGTCAAACTCTACTATGAACACAATTTAGTAGGTTTAAAGCTGGAGTTTGGAACGTGTTTGTACCTCTACCAATACGCTCTAAACCAAAATACCCATTTTTTAATCGAAGGCAGGGTCAGACACTGCAGTTGCTTTATGCAAATCTCTTTACTCTGCGCTGTGGGTTGGCAGCATATCCAGCATGAATTCCCACATTGCTCAAACTACCCAAACTCAGTGGCTTGTCCTTGCCACATCTTGAAATAAGCCCTTATGGAGGCCCAGCTAAATTTGTTTAAAAGCACACCTTTCAATTGTAAAGCTGTGTACAAATAACGTTTGTGAGCAATTTTAAGGTTGGGTTGAGCTGGGTAACCCACGTCCAGCCTTCTGAGCACAGAGAACAAACTATAAATACTGCCTTTGGATACAGTATGATACGTTTCATAGTTATTTAATTTTATTTTAAAAATGTCAAATGCTGTCCAGGAACTGTGTGATAGTAGCTAAATTTTCCTGGAGACTGCCTACACTGATGTGAGGCAAGATTTAGCCACTCACAGGATAAATTATTATTAAGAATCAAAATATTAAGACTCCTCTATGATTAAGAGCTGGATGCAGCAACGAGCTCCATGCAAGTGTGCCTCAGTGGAATGAAATCAGATGCATGGCCAGAAGCATGGATCATTTACTGGGTGGGAATCTAGTGATGGGAGTACTTGTTAAGTGTCCTGCAGATCAACCGGAAACAAGCTGTTGAGATGTTCTGCTTAGGAACAACTAAGATTGGGCCATTAGCCCTCAAAGAATCTTAATGGCGGGGGGGGGGGGGGGAGCAAGACCGGAAAATTAAATTCTATTTTTGTTAAAAAACAGAAACATCTCTATATTTTTACCTTGGTGATGCAGTAAATAGCAACACTCTATGTGCATAAAATGGTCTTCCTTCCACCAGAAATGTAACATCTGACATCTCTTTGTTGTTAAGAAAATGGGGATCTAGAATCGCAAAAAGAAGGGGAAAAAAAAAAGCCAATAACTTTAGTTTGGAAGAGGTCATGAACGTACAGAATATTTTCCTGTTTTGACAAAAGAAGAGAATAGCATAAAAGGATATCGTTTTTAATGAGTAAAGCTCATAAAGCTATTTTGGACAGCCTGAGACAGAAGCCCCCCAGACAGCCACGTGGAGTTCAGACGAAGGGAATTCAAAGCTCTGAAGTCTGTGAGGACCTTTGCTGAGATGACAGCCAGTCATCCCCGCCACACAGAGCTGGCACAACCTCCCAGCTCTGCTACCCAAAGCAAACTGCAGTGGAACGGATGCTGGAGGGCCCTATGCTCATTTACGCCCCTCTCCCTGTCTGGGGAAGTCTTCGTGCCAAGGGGAAGAAGGTCCTGGAAAATCACTCTGGTCTTCTCTCGGTCACATTAAAACAACCCGGGCTCTGTCAGCAGGGCTGGGAGGGCTGTGCTGCTGCGGCATCACCCGCAGCCAGCCATGGCGGTTTAAGATGTGGAAAGACGTTTGGCTCTGGGTCCCAGGCTCGCATCCCAGCCTAATTAGCAACACAGACAAATCTTTGCAGATTTACAGTCCCACTCCAACGCACCTGATGACCCTGCTGATTT